CACGATTCTGATCGATTTAGCCACTCAGGATCCTACCAGTACTTTAAATCCTGTTAGATCGACGGCAAGTTCTCAGGATGCTTACCAATGAAGTTCCGTGTTTTTCCTATTTTTTCTGATGAAATATACCATCTAGTGCATTATAGAACTTTTTCCATACCTCCCGAGTTTCCTAAAACAAGTGAAATTTTGAAGAGGTGGTGCTAGCCGCCGTTGTAGCTGTCGATGGGGTCGCTTCTTTAGTCCTTAAGATATATGCTTCTGACATTGCTATTTCCACTACTCTCAGTCGGCATCGCCGTCTGCCTTTCCTTTCACGAACATTGTTGGAGTGAGTGGAGAATGATCCGCGTGGTGTTATGCAAGCCAGTTACAATTGGTGCTATCACATACTCGGGGCTCATTTAAAGCCTGTCACTGATCAGCGGAACTCAAAATGAGGTTTCACCATCCGCCGCACGTTCAACCGATAAAAACGTCATAGCCTTTCGAGCAATCAAACTATTCTCGCTTTTCATAATCTGATCTTTTTTCGTTCTGATCGCGATTTGCCGTTCACATCAGACGAATTCAGCGGTATCCTTCAGGAATGGGGTTTGGCTACAAGCAGAACCACCGTATGGAACGTCTTTCTTTTTATAAAGATTATTGGATCATGATTTGTTTTGCACACAGTCTGACCTCAGACGCGTGTGTGTAATAATGAATGCGAATGAAATCAGATCGTGATTCGTTTCTAGGATGAAATAAAAACAAACAATTGTGCAGACGAATGCATATAACAACACAGAATACAATTCGGTTCAATACACCGACCTGAATCTTGAATGACTTGTGTTTTATTTTCACACATGTCTTAATCCAGTGTGTGTGTCAGTTACCTGTATCAGAAGCTTTTTTTATTGTTTTTAGTTTTCATATGCATTCATTATCACATCGTCGTTTTTGATACTAATGTTCTGGTCCTCCCAACTGCTCTACAATTCATTTCAGTTCCTACGATTCTTTTTCCCCGAAATGCCGCTGAATTTCTACGTCGTGGCACTCATTGTGTGCCTACTTCTGATTCCCATGTGTCTCACCAGCAACTTGCGCGTCATGGCTCATGTTGCCGCAATAGCCAATGTAGCCACACTGATTGGAACTGGCCTGATTTTTGGCTACTTGTTCTCATCCAAACTAACTCCAGTTTCCGAACTGCCAGCTTACACGAATACCAAGGGTGTCCTAATCGCATTCGGCATTGTCATGTACTCGTTCGAGGGCATCAGTTTGGTACGTGAAATAAAAACCCATGCGATGTAGGCGTTGAAGTTTGCACTCCTGATTTTTGTTGTTGTATAAGGCATAAAAAGTATCCGTTGCGTTTTTACAAATATATTAGTTGGTTTTCCGAATAAATAGTCTATTTGTTATATTTTGTGTTTATTTTTGAGCTTATCAGTCAGTCACATTTGTGACTCGCCCACTTCGTTCTTCAATTAAATGTCCAGCTCAGAGGTCGCCTGCATCCATTGTGCCGTCCAACGATCACAAAGGTGCATCAACTGACACCCATTTGACAATCAACCGCACATCCCTTACACGCAGGTTGCAGTTGTGGTTGTTACAACAGGAGACAGGCCTATCTAGCTGACGTGGATATTACATACGTAGATACATGTGGTGTATATTTTCAACAGTCGTGCGTTTTGTGGTTGGCGTTAAGTTTACAAAGGCAGCCGTCTGATGGAGAAATCATTCAGCATTTTTTTTAATCACAGCACCTAACCAGTACACCGCGGCGATTTCCTGTTAGTCTATCCCCTAGCCCTCTTTGTACCTTGTTCTGTAAGGCACGAATGAAATAATTTTTTTAAATTGTCGAAATAATCTCATACATCATATTTCAAATAAAACAACAGAGTGCTGAGCAAGCTCGTTTTCAGATATTCAATACATGATGTAACACTCCTCACCACACTGGGTCTACAAAATTTAGTACTTCTTCCTACCAGACCGAATTTACAGCTTGATTTCCTTTTCACAAACAGACCACAAATTTTTAAAGTCCAGAAACGCGCTCCCCTGAGCAGTTCAGATCATCTTAAAAGTATGTCCCACTGTATACAGCAAAACCAACCGATACACA